CCCCATTGTCGCTTTGAAGGTACTTCACGCGCTTTCCGGTTTGCGTTTCGGCCATCGCAGCGTATTCCATGAACTTCGCCGCAACTTCAGATTTGCTCTTGAGCAGATAGACGACACAGTATCTTGACTTGTCATCAATGAATGTCACGAAGTACCGTTTTCCACTGAAAGTTGCCATCGACATCGGTCCGCATACGTCGCTGTGAATCACTTCGAGGAGTTTGGAGGTGCGAGCTGTAGTGTTTGATTGGAAGCGCACTCGAGTCTGTTTTCCCAGAGCACAACCTTCACACACGTCCCACTTCTTCACCGAAGATATGTCGATGCCAATTCCACGTTCTTCGTCACGATGCAATTGAGTCCATCGTGACCTATGTGGCCAAGCCGAAGGTGCCAGAGGTACGACTTGGTGCCCCCTTGACATCCCGACGACTTGGCTGCATTTGCTTTGTTCCGGCGCCACTGGAGTCATTTGCAGCTTGAACAGTCCTTTACCTTCACGGGCACCAATTTTCCACTTGGTCCCTTTCGCTTCTCCATAGCACCCATCCTTCGTGAACGTCACTGGGCCGACATCCTTGGTGAAGCGGCCGACCGAGAACAGGTTTCTGGATAACTTTGGGATGTGCCACACGTTTGTGAGCACACCTTTCTTCATCCCTTGGGGTGTCTTCATCGACATGACAATGTCCCCACTGCCGATTGCTTGGACGATTCCGTCATCCGCGAGATGGACATCCACAGCGTCAAACCCCTTGTAGTTCCGCATGAACTTCTTGGAGCACGTCATGTGCTGCGTCGCCCCGGAGTCGACCAGCCAGATGTCGCTCGATTTCGCAGATGTCGTTTCACCGATCGAAAAGAGGTAGTCGCCCGAGTCTTCTTCTTGAGCGACGTTTGCACGTTGTGATCGATAGCGGTCGCCGCTGTCTTGAGCACGCTGTGGCCGGTGTCTCTCTCGTGTTTTCTTGGATGCGCGAGGGGCACTCCGCCATCCAGTGACCAATCTTTCCGCAATTGTGGCACGGCCAGGACTTCTTCACTGGTCGCCCTTTGCGCTGATTGTCCCTTGTGATGAACGCTTGACCTTGCGAAGCTTCATCACCTTTACTTCCTTGCTCCTTCCGCTTCATTTCTTCATGAAGCAGTCGAGACGTCACGAGGCTCCCAGCTAAGAGTGTCTGAGCGCGACTCCAAAGCTGTGATCAAGAATTGATACGAGTCACTCAGGCTGCCGAGGAGTGTGATCACCAGATCGTCCTCGCAGACTGGAGCCCCCACCGCTTCTAGCTGTTCCGCCAGCGTCTTGAGCTTGTTGATGTGTTCGAGCACATCGTCGCCTTCTTCCATCATTGTCGTGAAGAAGCGACGGCGCAAGAACAGCTTGTTGGCAAGACTCTTCTTCTCGAAGTGGTCTTCCAACCTTGACCATGCGTCGCATGCACCACTTGCCGACCGGACCAACGGTAGCTGGGAATCTTCCATGGCTAGACAGATCACTGCCATCGCCTTTCTTGACTTCCTCTTGTACGTCGCTTGGTCCAACTGAGTCTCGCACTGTTCCGCCTTGATCTCACCGCTGACGACCTCCCATAGGTCCCGTTCCTCCAGCACCATCTGCATCTTGAACTTCCAGGCGTGGAAGTTAGTTCCATCGAACTTGGAGATGCGGAGGGAGGAGGCGTCCATGGCAGCTAAGCTTGAATTGTTGGCGGTTTCAGAGTCTGACGAACTTGGGCTCATAACCTGATGAACTTTAGACTTCTTGGTCCGAGTGCAAAACGCAAAGTGAATATATATTTATAATAGGTACTTAGTTCGCAACTTTGAATACTACCTCTAAGCCTATTATTCGCAGTGACGTCATCCAGTGACGTCACCCACTGACGTCACCCACTGACGTCATGCAATGACGTCATCCAGTGACGTCATTTCCTGACTTCGCCCTTACTGGTACATACCGGTACCCACCGGTATAGCGAAGCTTGGTCTTCCACTTGCTTCAACACTTGACGCAGCTTGACGAGGTGTCTTCTTCACAGCCGCTGTCTTTTCAACAGGGGAAACGCCGACTACATTCAAGTCGGCGATGGAATCAAGCGACTCCGGCAAGTGGAAAGAAGCGTGTGACTCGGAGTTCGATTCGCTTCAAAAAAAAGACACGTGGGAAATCGTGCCTCTTCCGAAAGGTCGCAAGGCCATCGGGTGCCGATGGGTTTTTCGTGTAAAGGAGAATCAAGATGGCGAAGTTGAACGTTTCAAGGCAAGACTTGTGGCCAAAGGATTCTCACAGAAATTCGGAGCTGACTATGAAGAAACTTTCGCACCGGTGGCCAAGTTCACATCGATTCGTGTGGTGCTCAGTATGGCCGCTAAGTACGGCCTAATGCTACATCAGATGGACGTCAAGACAGCGTTTCTTAACGGCTCCCTCAACGAAGACATCTACATGGACCAGCCGGACGGATACCTGGATGCAACACAGCCGGACTATGTGCAAGCTAAAGAGATCACTCTACGGCTTGAAGCAATCGCTTCGCATGTGGAACCAAACAATCGATGGGTTCATGATCAAGATGGGATTCAAGAAGTGCGAATCGGACCACTGCATCTACATCAAGCGAGACGACCAAGACATGATTCTCGTGGTGCTCTACGTCGATGATCTCATCCTGGCCAGCAGCAACAACGAACTCCTCAAGTCAACCAAGATGGCGCTGAGCAAACGCTTCGAAATGACGGATCTCGGTGAGCTCGATTACTTTCTCGGCATGGAGATCAAGAACGACCGTAAGACGGGAATGGTGACTGTACAACAAACCAAGTTTCTCAAGTCCGTGTTAACCAAGTTCGGAATGGATAACAGCAAGCCAGTGAAGACGCCTCAAGATCCCGGCCTGAAGCTAACCAAGAACATGTGTGAACAAGAATGCAAGCACGAAGACACCATGTGCAACGTGCCATATCGAAGTGCTGTCGGAGGCATCATGTATCTCATGGTCGCCACACGTCCGGATCTAGCTGCTGCAGTGGGATCATTATCCCAGTTCTCGTCCGACCCATGCCCGACTCACTGGCAAGCTTTGAAGCGTGTGCTGAGATACCTGCAAGCAACGCCCAATCATGGTCTTGAGTTTACACGTGAAGAAGGAAGCCGTATCTGCGGGTACACCGACGCAGACTGGGCCGGCGACATTGAGTCAAGACGAAAGTACAAGCGGCTATGTGTTCATGATGAGCGGAGGATGCATCAGCTGGAAAAGCCAGAAACAACGGACGGTCGCGCTATCTTCAACAGAAGCAGAATACATGGCGCTTTCCGAAGCAACCAAAGAAGCAGTATGGCTCAAGGTGCTTTTGGGGGAACTTGGTGAGATGACAAGCGACGAAGCGATCAAGATGTATGAAGACAACCAAGGATCAATCGCTCTCGCCAAGAACCCGGAGTTCCATAAGAGAACAAAACACATCGACATACGCTACCATTTTGTGCGTGAGAAGGTGGAATCAGGTGAAGTCGTTTTGGAGTATCACCCGACTCAAGATATGCTGGCAGACATGATGACCAAGCCGATCGCCGCTGTACAATTTGAAAACATTCGCGATCGACTTGGGATCCAAGATGCCGCAGCTAACGAGTCGAGAGGGAGTGTTGAAAAGACAGCGGCTGTGAAGAAGACACCTCGTCAAGCTGCGTCAAGTGTTGAAGCAAGTGGAAGACCAAGCTTCGCTATACCGGTGGGTACCGGTATGTACCAGTAAGGGCGAAGTCAGGAAATGACGTCACTGGATGACGTCATTGCATGACGTCAGTGGGTGACGTCAGTGGGTGACGTCACTGGATGACGTCACTGCGAATAATAGGCTTAGAGGTAGTATTCAAAGTTGCGAACTAAGTACCTATTATAAATATATATTCACTTTTCGTTTTGCACTCGGACCAAGAAGTCTAAAGTTCATCAAACCTTAAAGTGTTTGGATGCCACGCGTATGTTCAAGTGCCTCAAGACAAACGCGCGAAGTTCGACTCCAAGTCATCACTCTGTCGTTTCCTGGGATACGCCGAACACCAGAAGTCATATCGATTTGAGGAAGTGTCAACAGGAGCGATCAAGATCAGTCGCGATGCCACATTCATGGAAGACAAGTTTGATGAAGGTCCGCGCAACTACAACGATGAGTCAAGTGTCGTTGAGTTTGATGATCATGATGAGGACGAAGAAAAAGAAGAAGGTAAAACTGACGACGACATGGACTCGAGCGACGATGACAACGAAGACACCAGGTCTTCGAAGAGCAACATCAAGAGACACACGCGCACTCAATCACTTGAGAAAGCTACCGTCATTCCAAGTCCCAAGCGAAGAACATACAGAGGTCCGTCGCTTGAGCATGTGTCAGCGGCTGCAATGGATTTTGAAGCAGCCTACATCGTTGATTCAGTGGGGAAACGCCGACTACATTCAAGTCGGCGATGGAATCAAGCGACTCCGGCAAGTGGAAAGAAGCGTGTGACTCGGAGTTCGACTCGCTTCAGAGAAACGACACGTGGGAAATCGTGCCTCTTCCGAAAGGTCGCAAGGCCATCGGGTGCCGATGGGTTTTTCGTGTAAAGGAGAATCAAGATGGCGAAGTTGAACGTTTCAAGGCAAGACTTGTGGCCAAAGGATTCTCACAGAAATTCGGAGTTGACTATGAAGAAACTTTCGCACCGGTGGCCAAGTTCACATCGATTCGTGTGGTGCTCAGTATGGCGGCCAAGTACGGCCTAATGCTACATCAGATGGACGTCAAGACAGCGTTTCTTAACGGCTCCCTCAACGAAGACATCTACATGGACCAGCCGGACGGATACCTGGATGCAACACAGCCGGACTATGTGTGCAAGCTAAAGAGATCACTCTACGGCTTGAAGCAATCGCCTCGCATGTGGAACCAAACAATCGATGGGTTCATGATCAAGATGGGATTCAAGAAGTGCGAATCGGACCACTGCATCTACATCAAGCGAGACGACCAAGACATGATTCTCGTGGTGCTCTACGTCGATGATCTCATCCTGGCCAGCAGCAACAACGAACTCCTCAAGTCAACCAAGATGGCGCTGAGCAAACGCTTCGAAATGACGGATCTCGGTGAGCTCGATTACTTTCTCGGCATGGAGATCAAGAACGACCGTAAGACGGGAATGGTGACTGTACAACAAACCAAGTTTCTCAAGTCCGTGTTAACCAAGTTCGGAATGGATAACAGCAAGCCAGTGAAGACGCCTCAAGATCCCGGCCTGAAGCTAACCAAGAACATGTGTGAACAAGAATGCAAGCACGAAGACACCATGTGCAACGTGCCATATCGAAGTGCTGTCGGAGGCATCATGTATCTCATGGTCGCCACACGTCCGGATCTAGCTGCTGCAGTGGGATCATTATCCCAGTTCTCGTCCGACCCATGCCCGACTCACTGGCAAGCTTTGAAGCGTGTGCTGAGATACCTGCAAGCAACGCCCAATCATGGTCTTGAGTTTACACGTGAAGAAGGAAGCCGTATCTGCGGGTACACCGACGCAGACTGGGCCGGCGACATTGAGTCAAGACGAAGTACAAGCGGATATGTGTTCATGATGAGCGGAGGATGCATCAGCTGGAAAAGCCAGAAACAACGGACGGTCGCGCTATCTTCAACAGAAGCAGAATACATGGCGCTTTCCGAAGCAACCAAAGAAGCAGTATGGCTCAAGGTGCTTTTGGGGGAACTTGGTGAGATGACAAGCGACGAAGCGATCAAGATGTATGAAGACAACCAAGGATCAATCGCTCTCGCCAAGAACCCGGAGTTCCATAAGAGAACAAAACACATCGACATACGCTACCATTTTGTGCGTGAGAAGGTGGAATCAGGTGAAGTCGTTTTGGAGTATTGCCCGACTCAAGATATGCTGGCAGACATGATGACCAAGCCGATCGCCGCTGTACAATTTGAAAACATTCGCGATCGACTTGGGATCCAAGGTGCCGCAGCTAACGAGTCGAGAGGGAGTGTTGAAAAGACAGCGGCTGTGAAGAAGACACCTCGTCAAGCTGCGTCAAGTGTTGAAGCAAGTGGAAGACCAAGCTTCGCTATACCGGTGGGTACCGGTATGTACCAGTAAGGGCGAAGTCAGGAAATGACGTCACTGGATGACGTCATTGCATGACGTCAGTGGGTGACGTCAGTGGGTGACGTCACTGGATGACGTCACTGCGAATAATAGGCTTAGAGGTAGTATTCAAAGTTGCGAACTAAGTACCTATTATAAATATATATTCACTTTGCGTTTTGCACTCGGACCAAGAAGTCTAAAGTTCATCAAACCTTAAAGTGTTTGGATGCCACGCGTATGTTCAAGTGCCTCAAGACAAACGCGCGAAGTTCGACTCCAAGTCATCACTCTGTCGTTTCCTGGGATACGCCGAACACCAGAAGTCATATCGATTTGAGGAAGTGTCAACAGGAGCGATCAAGATCAGTCGCGATGCCACATTCATGGAAGACAAGTTTGATGAAGGTCCGCGCAACTACAACGATGAGTCAAGTGTCGTTGAGTTTGATGATCATGATGAGGACGAAGAAAAAGAAGAAGGTAAAACTGACGACGACATGGACTCGAGCGACGATGACAACGAAGACACCAGGTCTTCGAAGAGCAACATCAAGAGACACACGCGCACTCAATCACTTGAGAAAGCTACCGTCATTCCAAGTCCCAAGCGAAGAACATACAGAGGTCCGTCGCTTGAGCATGTGTCAGCGGCTGCAATGGATTTTGAAGCAGCCTACATCGTTGATTCAGTGGGGGAAACGCCGACTACATTCAAGTCGGCGATGGAATCAAGCGACTCCGGCAAGTGGAAAGAAGCGTGTGACTCGGAGTTCGACTCGCTTCAGAGAAACGACACGTGGGAAATCGTGCCTCTTCCGAAAGGTCGCAAGGCCATCGGGTGCCGATGGGTTTTTCGTGTAAAGGAGAATCAAGATGGCGAAGTTGAACGTTTCAAGGCAAGACTTGTGGCCAAAGGATTCTCACAGAAATTCGGAGTTGACTATGAAGAAACTTTCGCACCGGTGGCCAAGTTCACATCGATTCGTGTGGTGCTCAGTATGGCGGCCAAGTACGGCCTAATGCTACATCAGATGGACGTCAAGACAGCGTTTCTTAACGGCTCCCTCAACGAAGACATCTACATGGACCAGCCGGACGGATACCTGGATGCAACACAGCCGGACTATGTGTGCAAGCTAAAGAGATCACTCTACGGCTTGAAGCAATCGCCTCGCATGTGGAACCAAACAATCGATGGGTTCATGATCAAGATGGGATTCAAGAAGTGCGAATCGGACCACTGCATCTACATCAAGCGAGACGACCAAGACATGATTCTCGTGGTGCTCTACGTCGATGATCTCATCCTGGCCAGCAGCAACAACGAACTCCTCAAGTCAACCAAGATGGCGCTGAGCAAACGCTTCGAAATGACGGATCTCGGTGAGCTCGATTACTTTCTCGGCATGGAGATCAAGAACGACCGTAAGACGGGAATGGTGACTGTACAACAAACCAAGTTTCTCAAGTCCGTGTTAACCAAGTTCGGAATGGATAACAGCAAGCCAGTGAAGACGCCTCAAGATCCCGGCCTGAAGCTAACCAAGAACATGTGTGAACAAGAATGCAAGCACGAAGACACCATGTGCAACGTGCCATATCGAAGTGCTGTCGGAGGCATCATGTATCTCATGGTCGCCACACGTCCGGATCTAGCTGCTGCAGTGGGATCATTATCCCAGTTCTCGTCCGACCCATGCCCGACTCACTGGCAAGCTTTGAAGCGTGTGCTGAGATACCTGCAAGCAACGCCCAATCATGGTCTTGAGTTTACACGTGAAGAAGGAAGCCGTATCTGCGGGTACACCGACGCAGACTGGGCCGGCGACATTGAGTCAAGACGAAGTACAAGCGGATATGTGTTCATGATGAGCGGAGGATGCATCAGCTGGAAAAGCCAGAAACAACGGACGGTCGCGCTATCTTCAACAGAAGCAGAATACATGGCGCTTTCCGAAGCAACCAAAGAAGCAGTATGGCTCAAGGTGCTTTTGGGGGAACTTGGTGAGATGACAAGCGACGAAGCGATCAAGATGTATGAAGACAACCAAGGATCAATCGCTCTCGCCAAGAACCCGGAGTTCCATAAGAGAACAAAACACATCGACATACGCTACCATTTTGTGCGTGAGAAGGTGGAATCAGGTGAAGTCGTTTTGGAGTATTGCCCGACTCAAGATATGCTGGCAGACATGATGACCAAGCCGATCGCCGCTGTACAATTTGAAAACATTCGCGATCGACTTGGGATCCAAGGTGCCGCAGCTAACGAGTCGAGAGGGAGTGTTGAAAAGACAGCGGCTGTGAAGAAGACACCTCGTCAAGCTGCGTCAAGTGTTGAAGCAAGTGGAAGACCAAGCTTCGCTATACCGGTGGGTACCGGTATGTACCAGTAAGGGCGAAGTCAGGAAATGACGTCACTGGATGACGTCATTGCATGACGTCAGTGGGTGACGTCAGTGGGTGACGTCACTGGATGACGTCACTGCGAATAATAGGCTTAGAGGTAGTATTCAAAGTTGCGAACTAAGTACCTATTATAAATATATATTCACTTTGCGTTTTGCACTCGGACCAAGAAGTCTAAAGTTCATCAGAAGATGTCCTGTGAAACGTTTTGGCA